GTAATGAAAAGTTTTGGAGCTAGGCTTTGTAAACACTGATTATTCAAAACTATGAAAAAATTACCGCATACTGGGTTCACAAAATTGAAAACTGTAGAGTTCTTTTCTGCCTGCTGTTCATTTACAAGTCAAGCTACCACATGGAGACAGCCTTGAATCTCAGGTGGTTTACAAACAACTGAGTAAACTCTATCTAAAGTTACTTTCTTTAACAACTTCATTCACTATTCCTTAAAATTTCTTAAATATTTAAACTAGAGAAAAAATGTAATGTCAAGAAATTATAGCAAATGAACTTATCTGTTAATTTTCTTGAATCACAATAACTATGTTCATAACTTTCCTTCCAATGCCCATTGAGAGGCCATTTAAAATATTTAACAATGGGTCTAATGACTAAACTCAATGTCTATGTCACCAAAAACTTCTTTCCAAATTTTTCATCATCTACCCCAAAGTTTTATATTGTGGTTCTACTTTCTGTGTCTTGTAAAATAGCCTGCAGAGAAAAATTTGCTCCCTCAGCTGACCCTTTTTTAGAGTGCTGGGGAGTTGTATGTTTTGACATAAACTATTTTTTTCTATTTAATTGTATACTCAACTATATTTATTGTTTATATTTGATATACTTAGTTTTTAAAAAGTTGTTCGTCAGTGTATGCAGGGTTAATTAAGATTCAGAATGTACCATAAAGTTTGTGTATTTTTATGTATTTTAAGCAGAGCACCGGGCTGTTAACAGATGAGTCTTTGAACAATGTTATCTGTTCCAGGGCACTTGCAGTCTCCAGGAATCTCTGATATAGTCATATTTTTGTTCTAACATATGTTGCCTCAGGACTCTATAGAAGCTAGATCATTATTAAAATAGAATGCTGAGGAATGGGAAATACTTTAGAGAGAGACAAAAACAAGTGTTACTATAATGCAAGGACAAAGGAATTCTTCATTGTAAGCACTCCTGAGAGATGATGCAAACCCAAAGGAAAAGCTTAATCCCCTGTAAAGATGAAGGGAAGTTAGGTGAGTGTCATTGTCCACTGCCCGTAAAAAAATAAAGCATTCTAAAACAACGTTGGGTGGAAGAAGACAGAAATGATATTGCAATTGAGGGCCATAGCTAGAGGATGCCTGAAGAACCTACTGCTATATGTGAGAGAGCTGAGGACAGAATCCAAAATTTTTGACCCCCAGTTATACCCCATATCTCATTATCTTGAGACAACATGTGGATCTTTGGTTAAAAAATAAGCAGCATCAGAGTGTTAACTTAAAAAAACAAACAAGATCCCATTGCTGAAGAAATTCAAGGTGACTTTGATATTAATGTTTCTGGTTTATGCATATAAATCGTTTTGCTAAAAACAGTTGAGGTTAGGATTGTAGTTTCTTTCATTTTACATGTTTTGTATTTCTAAACTTTAGTAAGTGATTAATTCTTGCTAACAGTAATATCTTGCCTTCCTGCCCTTTCTTAGAATAATCCCACTTGGGGGAAAAAAATTACCTCCTCTAAAGGAGCAGTTAAACCTGTACACAGAGAGAGTACAGCGGCCAATTATTTCTGTTGAATCATCATGATAAAAATCCAATGAGAGTCTCCCCAGGACTTTCCAGAGAGTAATTGTACTGTTCTTCCGTAGCATGGTGGTGGAGTAGATAGAATTAGTAAAAAATAAAATAAAATAATTCTGATTAATTATTCAATTACATTCACCTATTTTTTATAATTCTTAATGCTTAAATGACTCTTTATGTGAATGGAAAACAACTATGTATGCAAGTAAGTCACCAATATTTGCCCATGATACTGAAATCCCACTGTGGTGGGACTGATTGGACTGAGCCTCAGAGGGTGATCCACTACAGACTTAACTAGCAAGAGATAACCACGTAAAGAAGGCACGTAAAGTATGAACTGTAACACAACCTGGCCCAAAAATATAAAGTATTAAGAGAGGGCTCAAAAAATCAGTATTGCTGAGAATACTAGCTGCCTGGCTAAGAAATTTTGATGCATTTAATAGGAAATAGGAAGTTGGGGAGAATTTTGAATAAGGCAGAACTTTAAGAAGATAAACCAGTTGATAGATATAACTTCCAGTGTGAATTATGCAGAAGAAAAGATTGTGACTCTTTGAAATCATCTTATTTTGCATTAATAGTGCAAGTAAAACTTTTGATAAAAGAAATGGACAAAGATTAAACTGTGCTATAGAGTTAATTTGGGGTAAGGATTATTCAAATATTTCTCTTCTATACCATGAATATAAAAAATTAGTTAATTTGCCAAATATAAGTTTGTTATATTTTTAGACAGTCTCTAAGATCTTAAAATAATTTTCTTTTAACATAGGTTTTTAGGAAAACAAATGTTTAATGAAAAATTTTTCAAAGAAAGTAATTTTATTTAGATCCATCCGTACAACAGAAAGAGTTAAAACTCAGCTCTCTGATTTAAAAAGCAAAACTAATTTAGAATAAAACTTTATCCTTCAGAGCAGCCATCTTTTTTATTTTTATTTTTTCTGTTCTAGAGAATGGTGTGAGAACTGCTGGTATTTGTGGACTTAACTCTCTAAGTGTTAACTGTTGTAAATGATCCAAGAGATCTTTGGGATGAAGTACTTTGTAATTTTTCAAAGCCATAAATGTGAGTCACACAGATGATGTGGGTGCTCAGGTGCAAGTGGTCAAGCTAGAGGGTAAACCATACTGAGCATCAAGCATCTGCTGCCAAAAGGGGTTTTGTTTTGTCTATTCAATCATCAGGCAAGATGGTGAATGTCATACTTGGCCTCACTTTAGAGTCTAATGTTTAGACAAAAGCAATATACTAAGAAGCCATTGCAAATATGAAAATACACCAAGAATATGCCATTAATGCATGTCAAAGGTCTGCTTCACCTTATAGATTGAACAGACACGGGTTGAGAAAGTCCACCACTGAAGAAGGTCAGGTGTTTGTTTCACTAGAAAAATCTATGACTCTCTTGAAAATCTGGGAAAAATGAACAAAGGTTTACCGTTAAGCTTTAGGATCTTCAGATTTAAATTACCTCTAAATAATGCTAGCAATGTGTATACCTCTTCAGGTTTGAATAATTTGTTTTGGAGAGTATAAAAGTTGTCAAAAAGTTGATGAAATGTTAGAGTCAGATTCATGCAACTGAATTTGGAATTTCCATTTTTGCAACAAATGAATCCAATTTAACATTTGGCTTTGATCGCTTTAACTCATTACAAAGTAATCAAAGCCAAATGTTGGCTTTGGTTGGTACTCTAATGATCTCTAATTTAAAATTTGTAAATGAAATAAGAGATCCTGTATATCCCTGAAGAGGAGGAAAAAATGGCTTAGATGAATTCTATTTCATTGCCAAAATAATTGGTTCTTCATGGATAAAAATTATAAGTATTATTATTAGAACTAATAAATCAAGACTATTTTCCTTTTAAAATTAATTTATGTGGTTTGAAATATAATATCCCTTATTGACTTAAAGGTAATTACATCACAGTTTATATGAAATTCTTAGAATGAAACTACACTTATTATTAGATATAGACTGTGTGATATGCTCTCCTCCTTTTATAAAACTGGAATTGTTCTTACACCCTAAAGTGGGGTCCAATCATCATGTCTTCTGAATTCAGATTTTGACAAGAGGCCCTTCCCTTGGGCTGTCAATGAGAGTTGTTGATGACATTCCCTATAAGGGACAGCAATCTTGTCAATGTTAGTTAGGCAAGCACTGCAATTCAAGCTTTGTCTAGTTAAATATAGTCTGGATTCATGTCCTCCTGAATTTGTATACCTTTCTAAAAGACCAAGAGATGTGATACTATTTGGGGGCACAGCTGAATATCTAGGATAATTTTATTTAGGTTTTTTTTAAATAAGAGGATAAACTGTCCCCCAAAGCATTGAAAAGATGATTTCTCTTTAGTTATTGGGAGAGGAGAGGTAAATAGTCATTTTACACAAAGTAAAACCAACCAACCAAACAACAACAAAAGTAAACCTTTCTTCCCATGCTAACTTTGCTTGTCTGTCCTCCAAGACATGCAGAATTTGAAAGACGCATGAAAGAAGTCAAGAGTTATTACTTTGCACATTACATTACACAAGAGTAATATTTTTCCAGATCTGGATTTGCTATTGTCTTCCAGATGAATACTGGACTTTCTGAAAATAGAAATAAAACACCTCACCTCAAATCTGTCAGACCCAGCTGAGGCCTGGACTACATGAGCTAGTACAAGTCAACTAACTAATGTTCTTTGGGGTTCTCCCTTCTAAAAATGGAAAGAACGCTTCCATACCCACCATCTAAGGGTAATGGCTATGATGAGCAGTTGTCAGAGAGAGGCCTTCCAAAAGGCCACTGAGCCAGACCTGCGGGGGAACCTATGGCCTGTCAGCAGAGGAGGCCCAGAGCCTCCTCTTAGGAAACCAGGGGCTTCTTTCCCTGCATGAAGGAGGACTCTCAACTGTAGCATTCAGTAGACCATGCTATGTTCAAGTCAAGTGTATGAGATGATTTATATTGGTAATGGCTGACACTGTCAGGGGTAAGCTGGGGCGGATACGGCGCTGGTGGACCCTTCAGGATCCTGACCTGAACTACACTGAACTATACCATTGGTCGTTCCGTAGAGGGAACCTGAGTCCCAGTGTTGCCCACAGTATTGGAAGCCACCTCCTTACAGATGACCCAAGGTTTATTTTTCTATTCTTCTAATTGCTTCCAGATTATACCTGCCTACAACTGGGGTATCTAAGGCTCTTGAGCATTTGGCCCTTGGGTGTGCAGGACCAGAGAGCCTTGTTTTTACATGACAGATCTGCTCTTCAATTCCAGTGTTCGATTTTTCTCTTAGATGAATATGTAGGTGGAAGGGAGTTTGGAGCCTCTTTGGCACTATCCCTTCCGGTTCCCTGTACCCAGCATGTTGAAACAAAAATGCACAGTGAAGTTACCTCCAATTCCTTTTAGGTTAGGATTTTAAACAAGAAGATCGATTTTAGCAAGGTTCAGTCCAGATGTGGTTCCAAGGATAACATCAAACATTCTGCCGGGGGCGGAAATGTAAGTAGAAGCTTCTGGTAGAAAGCTGTCCTGGTTGTGTGGAGCCATCTGCACAGTCAGCACCCTGTCTCCTTTCCTGCCTCCTTCCTAACACACTCCCCCTTCTGTTGCTGCGCCACATGCCCCTCGATCTGGGAGCTTGTCAGCCTTGCATTTTTCATGATGGGTTTCCCATCCTTCCTTTAAGATCAGCCGCGAATGTCTTGCTTCCATTTGAATAACAAAACCTTAACGGGGTGCACCACGGTTTTCAGGGGGATGGAAAACCCACATCACTTGCCAATTGTCTTTGCTGGCCTTTGGCCCCAAAGCATTTCTTCATGCTGTCTCTATTCCCCTGCAAAAGTCAGCTGGACACACTTTTCCAGCTCCATTTAAGTCTCTCTTGAGGCAGAGACTGATAGAGTTGAAAATACCCAGTGTGTAATGTCAATCTTTTGTGCTGCTTTATTCATGAGAGTTAGAAACCACTTGAAATAATAAAAACTGTTAGAGCATGGTTCATCTGTAATTCAAAGTGAAAGGGTTCAAGTTCCCAGTATACATGGCTTGATCGTATTTTTCCTATCTCTTAAATTGAGTGGAAATAATACCCTATGAGAGGAAGGGAAAGATGAATCCATGTCCCTCAAATGTAGCTGAGGCAGAGTTGCAACAGGTAACCTCAAGCCAGATCCTGTCACCTAAACTTTAGGTTCTGGCCATGTGGGACTCCAGTAATTTAGAGTGCCAAAACCAAAATTCTCACCTGTCTAATACTTCTTGGGTCCTTGCTCCTCAACTGGGCAGAGATGAAATCAAACAGTGAAAGGAGAGATGAGCAAGTGACTTCTACCAGGACCTGTCACCGGATGTTCAAAGTAAATCCACAGAGCATGAAAATGTCACTGTCGTGGGAAATGCATAGCAAGGTTTGCTGGGCTTCTTCAAAAGTACTGGGCTAAGGCTCAGCATCAGTGTCTACATGGACATGTTTTCCCTCCTCCCTGTTGCCCTGACTTTAAGTGCTCACCACCTGGTACTCTGACAGGAAGTGTCAGTCCTTAGTAAGTAGCTTGAGGGGATCAGAACATGGACCCAGCTATCTTCCACTGCAGGTGCTGCTGGTCGGAACACCTGAGGGGAAAAGGATAAATTGAGATAACTAACAAATTCAAATAAACAGGGGAGCTTCCAACCTCTAAAACAATAGTCTTAAATTTTCCTCTAGAGAAGAATCACTTACTCAGCCCTGGCTGGTGTGGCTCAGTGGCTTGAGCACTGCCCTGTGAACCAAAAGGTCGCCGGTTCAGTTCTCAGTCAGGGCACAATCCTGGGTTGTGGGCCAGTTTCCTGGTATGAGGCGCATGAAAGGCAACCACACATTGATGTTGCTCTCCCTATCTTTGTCCCTCCCTCCCCCATCTCTAAAAATAAATCAATAAAATCTTTAAAAAAAAAAAAGAATCGCTTATTCAAATATGCAGATTCCCTGGCCCCATTTCCACAGTGTCCAATTCTGTCATTCCTATGTACTTCTGATGCAAATGAACAGTGACCCACACTTGGAGAAGTACTGTTTCAAATATTGGGAGAGGAAATAATTTCAATAAAACACAAAAAGAAAAAAAATCTTGTCAAATAATAATTTGGTGTACAAGAAAAATTCCATTTAACTAAGGCATGAGAGTAATATTTTAGAAAAGCATGTTTACAGCTTTCTTCTTCTTATCTTTAAGCAGTGTTGTCGTTCTTGTATCTATGAACAATGTTGGTCACTTTTATGTACAAATCACTTTTGAAAGAATAATTTATCTCTTCACTTGGCTCTTTGCTTAGGGAAGGGTTTAACATGGTGTGGCTTCATTCTTGCCTTATTAATCCAGGTCTTTCTATCTGCTTGTCGCATGATTGGTTTTCTAATAAAATCTTCTATTCTAGGATTTTCTTTCACTTGGGTCCTTCTTTCCAACCAAACAAGTGGGAGGGCATATGGGAGATTATGTTTTCTTATGTGTGTATGTACTTCAGTTTCGGTTCCTGGATATGTTGTAGTGTGTTGTGAGTTTGGAGATGTTTCTAGATTTAATGTATGTATGAGCTGAGGGGGTTTTGTTCATGTCTATACTATTTTAAACATATTTTATGTGATTCACACAGGTACAGATTGTTACTAAGAAGATAGACCTAAGCCATGTGACATCCAAATGTGGCTCTCTGAAGAACATCCGCCACAGGCCAGGTAAGTAAATGTGTTTTAGTAGTTTAAGAAATATTAAATTGGATTCAATTCTTGTTGTGAAACACCTAATTAGAACGATGTTTCAAAATCCTCATACTTCATGCTTTTATTTAGAGAAACTTAAGTTAGAAATTTGAGCATCTTCATTTGGACGAGTAAACTCAATTACCAAAAATAGGCCATATATTATAGGATGGGTTAAAAATTAAAAGGTATATAAGATGCATTTATCTCTATGTACTCAACATATTTGTTGCAGCTTTTTTGAAATATATAGTCTATAAAATACTTTGGACCACGTATTATTCATACATAATTAAATGGACTGAAAGCACTGTTTCCAAAGATTTTTCATGAGATTTTTTCCCCTACATTGTGTGAAATAAGGATTGTGTTTAAGCAAAGCTAAAGAACTTTTCTCTGCTGAATTTCTCAGATCCTTTATTTGGTCAAGAAGCACTGTGATCCTCAGCGCAATATAATGCTTCCCCAGCTTATTTGACCATGGACTTCTTGTTTTTCTAGAATATGTCATGGGACTAATGCTGTAATGTGAAGTTTAGCTTCTTACTTCCTGAGGATATTTTTCTCTTTCAAGTGTGACTCTAACATATTTTGAGTCATTTTTGAATGTCATGTATTATATATAATTTTGCTGAATTCCATCTCCACACATGTGTAAATAATGGACAACTATCAAATTTGTAATTTTCTTGAGAACATTTTGATAAAATTTACATATAGTATTGTATTATAGGATAAGAAGAAGCAATTGGTTTTAAGCATCTGTGCTTGACATCTTAAACCATTGTGTCAAATGTTACCAGGGGAAAAAAAGTGTAAGAACAGTTGAGTTCAGTAAGATTGCTGATCAGGGGAAGGTTATCAAGAAAAAGTTATTACTTGAAAAACAAATGTAGGTAGGAGAAGTTTTAAAATGGATAAGTTCATTAGAAACAAGTCTAGAAATCAGGCTTCACCTTGCCAAAGGGTGTTCATAAAACAAGTCAAGGAATTAAAAATTACTTATATGGAATCCGTATTACTAGTTTCAGAACTGCTCCCCTGGGATGAGCTTATCTGTCACTCTTGAGGCAGCAGGGACATGGCCCCATACTGCCTGTCTTCACAGTAATTCCCCATCTGTAACTCAAGCCCACAACCCCTTAGTTGACTTTGTACTTACACGTCAACCGTATGTGTTAAGTATTTGGCCACGTTGCCTATATTCTTCCAGAATAGAAAAGAAACTATTGGGTTCTTTAGTTCCATACAGTAGGCATACAATTACTCAAATTCACCCAGGTCTTGATGCACAGAAAAATCTTACATAGAAAAAGAAGTATTCTGTGTAAGATTTACTGGTCATAAAAACTATTGTCATGGACTCTCACCTATTTCTAAATCTAGCTCTTCTGTAATACCTGAATTAGATGACTAACTTCATAAAGAAGTATTAGCACAATGATCCTTGACAACAGCAAGCTTTTCACAAAGTTACTTTGGAGTGTGGAATTTCTATGGAGAAAAAAAAGGAAATAAGTCAACACCTGCAGGCACAGATTGAAAATATCTGACATCTTACTGACTTCACTTCAGGACACATCAAGCTTGATAGAGATGATAGTCTTTCTCAATTACTGCTTCTTATGGGTGCCAGAATTCTTCAGAACCAAAGGCATAGATCCCTTAATTCAGATGGGCTTCTCTAACAGTTGCATAAAAGTTTCTGGTAGAACTGTAACAAAAATAGTCTTAATTTCTGAATATACTTTGGGTCAATATTACATTACTTTTCCTCTCTCTCGAAATACAGTTCAACAAAAATTTTAACAAGATTATATTGATACAGCATATAATCATAAAAGAAAGCTTAAAAAAGCTATTTCTATCAGAGGCTACCAAAAAATAGGAAAGATCCTAAGAAAGTTCATCTCATCCAGTTGAAACCTCAGCATCCTCCAGCCTCTAACCAAGATAAGAATGTTTTATGAATCACACTAATCTCATCACAACCAACAAGTGAGTCTCATGTAGCCAAGCTAAAATAAGTTTTTTGCAATAATACATATTTTGAGACGACAACTACGTTTCTTTTAGAAGCATCAGGTAAATAACATCATGTACATCTGAATCCCTTAGGAGAAGAATAAATGGATATATCTTCAAACTGTAAGCCAGTAACACCATACAACATTAAAGGGTTCTTGGCCAGGTAGCTGGGTGATAATACAAATATCTAAGTATTTCATGAAAATCACACCACAAGGCCTGTGAAGCCTCAAGAGACCTTTCTCTTAGATCTACAGAGATAAATAAGCATCAAGAACCCAAAATTTAAGAATATTTTCCATGTTTCCATAGAGTTCCTTGGCATTTTTTCCCCAAATTAAAATCCCAAGAGAGATGCCAAAATAGTAGGTCACATTGCTTACCATTGGCCTTCCAAAAAAATGCATATGGCCAAAACCAAGTTACTAATGAAAATGAAAGCAAACCTCTTAGGTGGAAATGGGTAAAGGAGTCTAATTCAGCTTTTTTCCAGGTAAAAGACATCAACAGAACCCCTTAGAAGTGCTCAAGAGCTGGCTAAAGGACAACAAATACCTTCCCAGTATAGAAAATGCTTTCTCAAGCATTTGCAAGCTAGAGAAAGGCAGAAAGGCATGCATAGATTGTGAGACCATACTGAGGGGTGGCATGTGGCACTCTCTTCTATCAGCAGATCCTTGATTCTCAGACTAATTAGCAGTTAGGGGAATGTCATGGTCCAAACTCTGTCTCAATATTATCAGATAAAGTCAATATCAAGATAGGTCTTGGGACATCTGTATGAGAATGTGATTCCCTTTTACTCTGTCTACTGATTAAAATGGGATGTTCTTAAAGCTTATTAGTATTAAAAACTTAACTCCTGACTCATATTTTATCTGTCAAGCTGTGTTGAAAATTGACAAATGGATCTATTACCTATATATGTACACCATTTCTAGCCTAATAGTTCTTTCTACAAGTGATCTATTACCAAGAAGAAGAATAAAGAAGAGCTTCTTCTCAATATAATTTGCTCCCCTTGGAATAAGAGTCTAACTCTCCCAAGTTTTAGAAAGGATGCAGTAGCACATTTTTATTGTTATTTTTAGAGTATTTATTATACAGATAGGCAAAATGATTCTAATATCTTAGGTTAGATGGGGTAGAGGAGAAAGGTATTAATATGTAAAGCAATCCATATAATGGTACAAAAAAGCTGTAATTATCTTGGATAATATGGGGACAATGGTATGAATTAGAAATTTTCAGATTTTTTTCCCATCTATGGCCAGGAGTATCGTAGAGTTAATTAATCCCGTGGTTTGCAATGGTCTATCTACTATAGTCATTTTTGGGGAATAGTCACCACAAATACAAGATTTAATTTTAGCAAGGCATTTTTCTTTTTGGCTTCATGTCTAATATTCATCTAAAATATAAAGCTCTCCTGAATTAAAGTACAGTTGACATACAATATTGTATTAGTTTCAGGGATAGAACATAGTGAGATTTCACATTTACATACCTTACAAAGCGATCACCACAAAAAGTCCACTCTCCATTTGTCACCATAGGAAGTTATGATGCTATTATTGATATTATTAATATTCTCTATGTTGTACTTTACACCCTCATGACTTATTTATAAGTTTGTACCTCTTATTCCCCTTAACCTTTTTGCCCATACCCCCACTGCCCACCCTTCTAGCAATGATCAGTTTTTAACTTTAGCAAAGCATTTAAAATCCTTTCTCCTCTCGCAGGTGGTGGGCGTGTGAAAATTGAGAGTGTAAAACTGGATTTTAAAGAAAAGGCCCAAGCTAAAGTTGGTTCACTTGATAATGCTCACCATGTCCCTGGAGGTGGTAATGTCAAGGTAAGAAACAAGGTCATGAGCTGTTCTCATCTTTTTTTTTTTAATTGTTCTGAAATACTCCTCATCGCTGTGGGTCCCAGACTGAAGACCTGAATAATAGCAAGTAAGGATGGCAGAGATAAATACAAGTGACATTCACATTAGCTCTGGGATACAGAGAAACACCTAGGGGTCAGTTAAGGTGCCTGCGTTAACAAGGACTGCTGCTTGTCTTGAACAGATTGACAGCCAAAAGTTGAACTTCAGAGAGCATGCTAAGGCCCGTGTGGACCACGGGGCTGAGATCATCACGCAGTCCCCAGGCAGATCCAGCGTGGCATCCCCCCGACGACTTAGCAACGTCTCCTCTTCTGGAAGCATCAACCTGCTCGAATCCCCTCAGCTTGCCACTTTGGCCGAGGATGTCACTGCTGCACTGGCTAAGCAGGGCTTGTGAATATTTCTCATTTAGCATTGAAGTAATAATATTTAGGCATGAGCTCTTGGCAGGAGTGGGCTCTGAGCAGGTGTTATGTTTATTCTTTACCAACCATAAAATAAATAATGTCCTTCCCAAACTCTATTAATTGTTACAATTTTATAAAAAAAATGAATAGCATATGCAGAAATTGATTTCCATTTACAACAGGAATACACTGGCTTTACATGAGTACAATTGGACAATTATTTTTGCTCTGCTCTGTTTTGCATGGAGTATTATTATTTGGAAAATTGCATTTTTACCTTTCATGTGCCTGAAGGCTATCCACTACATTCTGAAAGGCCTTGTTAAAATCCAAGCTGCTCATTTCACTATTCTGTTGCTGGGTGAAAAGATAAAAGCTGCCCATTGTAACTTATTACAGATTAAAATAAATCAAGGAGTCTGATGGCAGGAAGGGAAGAGCATGTAAGAAATAAGTTTTTTTTAAAGTGTTATTTTGTATAAATGGGAAGAAAGATTCAATTAAGTTATTAACATTTGGGACCTGGATAATTATATCAGAGTATAAGTCAATTCAATAAATTATTTAACTAATTAAAAAATAGTAACGAAGCATTTGCGCTGTGGTTGAGGAAGTGGTGTAAAAGTGCTCCGGCGCTTTCATTAGGATGGACTTGTGTCTGATTAGGATGTCAGTTGATCTGCTAGATTTGTGTCCACACTACCAGTTTCACACCCCCTTTCCATCTGTTTGATACAGTATTATAGATATAAATATATATATATATTTCTCTGTGGCCATTTGTGATACTTCCTCATATACTTGAATATTATACTTCCTTATTCACAGTATCTGTGTCTCCTGCACCCTTTGGTGTTGCAATTTTAGGTATGTGAAAGTAGATGTTAGCAGGGTTCTTTCCCTACTTAAAAAAAATACATTAAAAAAGACAAAAAGTTTTAGCATGAAAGTTGCTTTCTGTAACAACTCAAAGCTGTAACCCTGTTTTAGTGCCAGATATAAGTCTCTCCCATGATGCTAGAAAAATTTATTTTTCTTTGCTTTCACCAACATGGAGTTTGTGGGGGTGGGACCAGTTATACATAAAAGGGTTTACAGATTGTTGTTAAGATTATGGATTTAAATTATTTTGAATCATGGAATAGTTTGGGTTTTATTTCTGTAATCATCCATGAAAGACTTACTAAGATTTCTCTTTCTTTTTTTTTTTTTTCATTTGCTAAAGTTGAAACTAACAGAGTTTGGGACATGTTATCCCATTCTTCCGAACAGTACCTGCTTATTAAATTATCTGATAGAAAATATTGGGCTTCCTTCCCCAAGGTAAAGATCCCTTGATCAGAAAAGAAAAATACAGTATTTTGAGAAGCCAATGTCAAAATCATTTTATATCAGTAGGTAATACTGTTTTGACTTTATATACAGTGAATAAATCCCAAATCAGTTCATTAAATCCCCTCACAAATCATTCATCTTAGACTCTTAAAGAAACAGTGAATTAGTTAATGGCCTGAATAAGGCAATGCATTACCAGGCTAAGTGGACACTTTTTAGTATTTATTCTTTTTCTTGCTCAGGGCTGGTAAGTTGGATTTGAACAGTTACAGGCAAATAATTTGATTCCTTTGAGCCAAATCAATTCCTGAATATAAAGGAAGAAATGATGAGCATGGATGAGGCAAAAAGGGATAGTAGCATCTAAGAAAGAATCCAAATGTTGCAATGACAGAGAGACATGGATGACATTTTGTGACTCGTTGAATATTGAAACCGATGTACCTTCCACAAAAGAAACTCTAGGAGCCAATGCGCACCATTCATTCTCAACTAAGAGGTTTAACATAGGCAAACATGCCTGAAATTATTTATAAAAATTATTTATTGTACACAGCAGTCAAAAAGATACTACTGATTAGGACTGGGGTTGTGTTTATTTTTTGCCTAATAATTGCTGTGAGGCTTGATTTGACCTATTTGGGCATTTTTTTCATCAGCTTCTCTTGAAATGCACCAGAAAAATAGGAGAAGAAAGAATGGTTATGTGCAGACTTATGGTATTTCTTACATATTTGATAGTGTTAGGTAGCATTTGAGGTTCTAGAGAAAGAAGTTAACAACTGGTTAGAACAGTTTTAGCAAGTGAAGTATTGTTTTTCAAAATGGTTTAAGTTTTTTATAATAGTCAAGAATAAGTAAACATGCTCTGTATATTGAAAGTTTGTTTCTTAACTGAAGCCCAGTCTAAAAATCATCGCGTTACCTGGGTCACCTGCTCACTTGCGCTGATTGGCCAGGCTTGAGGCACATGTCCAACTCTATTGCAGGTAATTGACCTACATGAATGAATCATGGAGAAGAAATGTTCCCTTCAAAGTAAAGGGAACAATACATGCCCAAAATAAAGATGATATAAAGCATGATGTTACTAGATTTGGCATTAAAACAAATATTTATTTCAAATCACAGCAAAGTTATAATGAATAAATGCTCTTTCTTTGTATGGAAATGTGATTCTCTATAAAGTTAACAACAACAATAACAAAAACAAAACAGTGATAATTTGTACCAGGAGAAGAGGGAAACACAGAGGATAAATGTCTTCTTATGGGGATAAGTGGTGGAGCCCATCTTGCCTTCACTCTCAAGACTAACAACACAAATTAAGCTTTTTGAACACCACTCCTGTGGGGACATCCATACGCTGATCTAGAAATTAAAGCTTCATAGTTATAATTCTAGATCTATTAATGCCAGTTTCTCTCTGGCTTTAGCCTTTGAGAACCTGTTTATGAATACATAAGTAATCCAGAGCTATGAAGAGTTAAAAGGCCAACTTCTTCAATGAACTCACTCTCTCTGGGTCACCTGCAACCAAGAATTGGATACCTTACAATGATGCAGGAAAGATCCGAGTTTATGATGAGTTTCAAAGGCCATGTTCGCTTAGGAACCAACTCTCTCTGGATTCTCCTGCTGATTACCAGCAGGATGATGGGCTGAAATCCCACCCACAAGCAAGACGCCTGTGTAACACCAGCTACATATGGCTGAAGAAGGCGAAAGAGAGAACTGTTAAATGGAAGGCTGTACTGATGGTAGCTGGCCTTCTCCAGATGCTCACAGAGAAATACAACAGGAAATGGGAATCATCTACCAAATATAACATCATGTCAGTATTATTAAGGAAATAATCTCAATGTGGCTGATTCTGACATAGGTACAATTATAGTTTTTCTCATGTTTTTCATGCTACAAAAAGGTGGTAAATAAAGTATTTATGGTCTTAGTAGCCAAAAACAAAAACAAAACACCTAGATTCATGGCTTGGAAAGGCAAATTCTAGGCATTCCTTCAAAACTAGGTATGCTTAAATCAACATGGATGTTTGTTTTTTTAGGCCTAGGAATTTTAGCCTCCTTGTGTAGGTTGAGGCCAAGTCCCTCTGCAGGAAAAAGGTTATTTTTAAACTTGAAAAAATGTCAATCATTAAAATCTACTTCAACTTTAGCAAAAAGAAAAAAAATCAACAAAAAAGTATACTCTGTATGCTGGGATTCCAAGGTTCCAACACTCCACTACAAATCTGTGGGGGGGTTCTTTCTTCTGATAATTCTAGAGCCTGTTACCATAGAAAGGCATTTCTTCAATGGCTGGTTGTAGTTAGTTCATGTTTTTCAATCCAAATTTGCAAATGTATTTGTTGCTGTATAGTGATTGTTTTGCAAAATAAAATTGCTTGTCATCTGATTGATGGTTTCGGATTGTGTCTTCTTTGGGGAAAAAAATATATATATCCCTTGTTTGCACAGAAATGCTGTGTGTGTGTGTGTGTGTGTGTGTGTGTGTGTGTGTGTGTGTGTGTGTATTGCTCAATCCAACCAAAGAAAAATTGTAAAGAGAAGGCTACAATTACCTACTGAATTCCTGCTGCCTGTCAGGCCCTCTCACTACTGTGTTAGCAGAAGGCTATCTGTTGCAAGTGACAAAACCTCAAATCAAGTTGGCTAAACATGAAGGCAAATTTATTGACTAAGTAACCAGCTAGGTAAGACTATCTGCCTCAGGCATGGATGGATTCAGGCGCTCAAAAGATGTTAAGAATCTTCATTTCCCCAATTCTGGAATAAGCTCTCCAAAGATGTCATCAGGAACCTTTCTTTTTCCAAACCTTAGACCTGCTTCCTCTGTGTTGGTTTCATTCTCAGGCAGGCACCTCTTTCGTGATGGTCACTGAAAGCTCCGGGTTTCACAACCTGCAAAGACAGCCTCTTTCCAAGTAGCACTAGCCAAAAGCCCGGTTTAAAAATCATCAAGTTACTTGGCTCACCTGCTCACTTGTGCTGATTGGCCAGGCTTGGTCACATGCCCAACTCTATCACAGGTAGTTGAACTACAGGAATGAACTGTAGAGAAGAAATGTTCCCTTCAAAGTAAATTCAGTCTGCCACTGCCAGAAGAGAGAGAAATCGAGACTGTGCAGATCCTAAAACAGACATCCTCTACATCCCTACACTGTATTCTCTATCTTTATTCATCCTTTAGCGGGTAAGCAGTTTGCTACTCAGGCTGTGCTCAGGATTCACCTGGGAGCTTGTTAAAAATGCAAATTTTCAGACCACAATCCAGGCCAACTTATAACATCCCCATAGGGGATTCATTTGCACATTAAATTTTGAGAAACACTCAGCTCATCCAATTCTCTCTAATGTACTGAAGGAGAAAGAACTCCATTGCAGCCCACTAAGAGGTAAGAATTATTCCTAAGATTACTTGACTGTAATGCTGCAATAAACATAGGAATACATATCTGGTTAAGAATAAGTGTTTTCAGTTTTTTTTCTGAGTGGATAGCCAGAAGGGGGATTGCTGGGTCATACGGTAGCTCTATTTTTAATTTTTGAGGAAACTTCATAGTGGTTTCCATAGTGACTGCAGCAATTTACATTCCCCCCAGCCGTGTACAAGGGTTCCCCTTCACATCTTCTCCATATTGAAAACAGCCATTCCAATGATGTGTGATGTGGTATCTCATTATATTTTTAATTCGCATTTCAGCTAGTAATGCTGAGCATTTTTTCATGTATCTGTTGGCCATCTGTATATCTTCTGTTCCAGTCCTCTGCCTATTTTAATTGGATTATTTGGTTTTTTGTTGTTGAATTGCATAAGTTCTCGACTTATTTTCGATATTAGCCCTTTATTGGAGATACCATTTACAAATATCTTCTCCTATTCCGTTGGTTGCATTTTTGTTTTGTTGGTAGTTTCTTCTGGTGTGCAGAAGCTTTTTAGGTGTAGTCTCATTCATTTCTTTTTTGTTTTACTGCCCTTGCCTTTGGAGTCAAGTTCACAAAGTCCCCTCTGAGGCCAAGGTTCTTAAATTTAGTGCCTATGTTCTCTTCTATTTATCTTACTACTTCAGGTCTTGTATTTGAGTCTTTAATCCATTTTGAGTGAGTTTTTCTGTGTGGTATCAAAAGTAGTTATGAGAAAAAAAGAGAGAAAGAAAGAAAGACACTACATGAGACATCACCAAATCTGATATCAAAGAGTTCAGTTGCCAAGTAGTAGAAAATTGTGAATGGTGAAAAAAATCCCTTAGTATTGGAGGTTTTTCAGACTTTATACGATTCTATCCTGGCTGAAACCCACTTCTACCAATGTTGTCATAACCTTTCATTCAGTCTTTCTTTGCTAATAAAGCCAATTTAGTACAATTTAGCCAAAATCATTAGTTTCTTTTTAATAATTTTAAAAATTTAATATCCATGTTGTCCTCCCATGAAGTTTTTAAACCACAAGGGATTAAGATGCTGATTCACCTAATAGCATGAGTCACAACGAAAGTCTTATTTTCTTTTTTCTTCATTAACAACTTAAAGAAGAATTTACAGAAAAATTGAGAAGAAACAAGGAGCTCAGATATAATGTAAAATAACCCTCTATGTAGCTTATAGAGGGGGAAATGTGAGAGTTTCTTGTAGAACTGTGACCAAAGGACACAGTCCAGCAACCTAAAGTTGTTTCTAAAATACTGTCCTTCACTAGATTTTCCTGAGTATGTTAAAGAAGCATCATAGACACACTCCTAAAAGCTCTCTTTTTTCTCTCCTGTTGCAAATACCACAGCTTTTTCCACTTCTCCTCCTTCAGATGCCATTAAAATCTCCTGCCCCAGTCCTGGTTGAGATCATGGACTGTGGCTTCCAGAGCTGCTTTGTTTGGCCTGGCAGTATTTTCAAAATCAAGAAATTTTACACACATAAATATATACATACACACATGAAAACACACAATAATACACATACACATAAGTACACACGCTCTCACACACGCATACAATACCATATTTGGATCTTTGAAAAGTTTAAAGATTTGGCAGGCGTGCGCTTGCATTCTCTCATGACTACAATTGGTTGGAGCTGGTCTGTGGGTTCCTATGAGATGGGCTTGTCCCCTCCACTGGGCCACATTGTCTACCTGAGCCTGTAATTACTCCCCACCTATTGATTCACTTTTTACTATAGACAGTAAACTCTACAGATTTAGAATTTATAACCTCTAGCTTAGACTCACTTGTTTTTCCTTACCTATTTTTTCTTTATTCTGTGAAACAAATCCCCAAAAGAAGCAGTTCGCAGTCCTAGAGTGGGAGAGGGAAAAGGTCAGATTGGGTAGGTCAGGTCTATTAAATCAATTTAATAGATTTTTACCCTTTCTCAAGAAAGAAAAAGAAAAGTTTAAGGAGTACTTTTATTTGACAGAAGCAACTGGTTACTTCCATGTCTGTGATAAACACATTTAAGATTCTGCTCCCACCTGTGTTTATCATTACATCAGAGAAAAAGGAAAAATACAGTAGAGTTTTATTTTTGTTTCCTCACCCTATGATAAGTAAATATTTTATAGACAAAAGAGAAACGACAAAACCCATCATCTTACTCAGTAGGCCTGAACGTATAGTATACTTGCCTATTACTTTTGGAAGAAATACAGTGGCAAGATGTTGTAATCTAGTCAAGAGAATCACATGTTTTTAAACCCAGGACTGATTTTCAGTCAACATGTACCTTATTTAGCTGAAAAAGTTGCTACAATATTGAAAGACTTGCTGCCCAGGCCTTCTTCTCATTGATGCCCATCCCTGTCCACCCAAGCCTGTGCACCTGGACTCCACACACCTCCTCTAACCCAAGCACCTGGAAGGTTGATGCGGGTACAGCAGAGAGCCTCCAAGATTTTGTTCCAGTCCCCCCAAAAGTCCTGCCCTCCAGGCACTACCAGTGGCTGTGACCACCTCAGGGCCCTGGAGGACTGGCCTGCACCTTCCTAGCTCTTACGGGAAACCCAAATGGTCTGTGCTGGCACCTAGTAACCTGCTGGCCTGCCAGCCACCCTGCCACAGATCTCACATGCTTATCCCTGTCCCTATGTTGTCCCCCATCCCCAAGTCAGAAGAAGAAAGGATTCCTACAGAGGAAACAGTGACTTTTTGGGCATCCTGGTAGGAAATAGCTGGTGCTCATATAACCAAACCTTGGCTATGATCACCTGCTTCCATGCTTCATTCCCCTGCTATAGCTACCTTCATATAGTTACTTATAGGAATCTCAAGTCACTACAGGGTTTGAACTCTTACTGGAATATGGGGATGAGCAACAGGCACTGAAGAAGTAATGGGAGCTCCTGAAGACAACAACAGAAGGAGGTCATGGGCAACAGATAGGCCCCATGGCTCAATGTGGGGTTAATTGGCACCTAAGGTAAACCCTATTTATGGTGCCTATTGAAATTCACCTTTATCTGAAACCCACCAAAAGTCCAGCTGAAGTGGGTATTAACAACATTAATTTTCTACTTACTAGTTGATTGTGCTAGGCATTTTTATAAACATATGTTAAAACCTATGAGTACTGTAATTATTAGTGTCCCCATTTTATAGGTGAGAAAGCTGAAACATAGAAATTGTTTAAAATTTTATGGGCAGAGCCCTGGCTGGATGGCTCAGTTTAGTTGGAGCACCATCCCATACACCAAGAAGTTGTGGGTTCAGTACCCATTTGGTGCATATATGGGAGGCAACCGATGTTTCTCACATCAATGTCTCTCTCATATTGATGTTCCTCTCTCTCTCTCCCCCTCCCTTCCTTCCCATTCCTCTCTTTCTAAAATTAATACACACATCCTCTTCTAAAGATTTTTTTTTTAATTAAGAGGCAGAGTCAGAATTTGAACTCAAGCAGTCCAAGATGCCTCATCTGCTTAATGGATTAGATTTGATCAAATTAAATATTCTAAGCAATTTTCATTACAGCCATTAATAAATATACCAAATATATTATATAAAAACCTCAGCATTACAAAAACTAGAAAAATGTATTTCTGTTGATTCAGCAAATGATTAAAAAAATTATCAATCATAAACAATATAATTTATGTAAAGAGATGTTCTCTCGTTTTGTAAATGCAAGTCCTCCAATGAAAATTAAGTAGATAGGAAGTCATTGGAACAAATTGTATGCTGTTCTCTATATCAAGCCATGGCTCATATAAAGGCATCATTTAGCAAGTAACATATGTCATGCAAAGATCAATCAACAATTTCTAAAACAGTGAATTTAGAAATTAGGAAAATTGGATGACCTATTTGTACCACAACAAACCTCACTTGACAAGGAATTTAATAATTCACATTATTTAGAGAATAAAAGCAGTTTTTCCAATATATGGGTTAACTTGTGATAGTA